TTCTTAGCCAGGTCTTTGGTGGGAGTGAGAGCATGTGGGCCCCCTGAGCTTTTACTTGGATGTCCCTACCGAGTGTGGAGGAATTTGCCATTTCCCTGGCCATTTCGACTTCCCCCACCACATTGCTTTTGGCCAGTACATTCATTTCTTTTTTAACCAGGGTCAGGTGAAGATCTGGTTTTGGCCCTTTGTTGCCTCTGTTCTCTTCTCTGACCTTTTATCCTCTTTATATCAAATCACATTTTATTATAAACAGTGACTCAGAATGTAGATTGTGTTGCTCATTTGGGTCTTTACAAATATTCTGAAAATATTTTTAAGGCTTTTTTTCTTTTAGATGTTTTCATACATGTGCAGTAAGCTTGGCACCTGAACTGTATCCCCAAGCACAGTGAGCTTAATTTGAACGACACATAGTGATTGTGACATACCATGGGTTGAGCACCTCAGGACCAGCAGTACCTGTCACTTGCTTTCTTGGTACTTTGTGTCAGGTCTTTTGAAATAGACTGTTATTTGCATCCACCCACACATTGAGGAGTCCATTATAATTGCAGACATTTGTCTAAAGTGGCTTTTTGTTCTCCATGGCTCACTTACATTGTCGGGTGTTTTCCTTTCATTTTATTATTTACTGGAATTAGAGTGGATTTAGAATAAAGGCCACAAAAGAAAGTTCCAGCAAAGCTTGTAAGCTACAGAAAGTATTATGGCCAGTCTGGGCTTTTTAGATTTATGTATTTTTGTTTTATATGTGTGAGCACTTTGCCTGCATGTGTACTGTATGTGTTCCTAGTATCCACAGAGACCAGAAGAGGGAGTCAGATCCCTTGGAACTGGAGTTAAATGTAGTTGTGGGTGCTGCGAACCGAACCCTAGTCTTCAGTAAAAGCAGCAAGTACTCTTAACCATCTCTCTGTCCCCTGGTCAGGGTTTTGAAAGGTAGAGAAATATCAAAGTTGATTGAAATTAAGAGATGCCATGGGCCTTTTCACAGTTGAATGTAACGATTTCATCTGTAGCACTACTAGCTTAGACTGGATCGGCTGTGTTACTGCTCTTGAACTTTAGAAATAAACTCGCCAGTCTTTAGATTTAATGCCAACTCTTGAGCCTCCTACTACAGTGCCAGGATAATACATGTCGCTGTTCTTATCTCTTGGTTTTGGACAGTGTACAGTCTGCTCTCACCTGTCTTACTGTTATAAATGAGAAAAGCTGTAATTTGAGTTGAAACTGCACTATGACTTCTTAGGGGCACATAGCTCTTTTTTCTTTAATGAATTTTTGAGTCTCTTAAGAAAGAAAGAATTTGTGAGAGTCTCAGTCCCACACTTACGTTCTAAGGCTGCTGTGGGTGGTTTTCTCACAGCAGAGTTAACATGAATCTCTTTCTCCTCTCTCCAGGAATACCTGTAATGACTTCCTCGTAGCCTCTACTGAATTATTCCTCTACTAAATGGTTGCCAAACCAATACTTTAAAAATCGTACCCGAGCCAGGTAATTTACAGATGTACTGCAATCAAACCTAAGTTGTTGCCACTTACCATTAACGAAACTCACTGTTTGAGCCAAATTCCAGCATTTGTCAGCAGTGACGGTACTAGGAGGATGTAGACTGTGCTGGGGTGAGAACATGTCTCACCAAATCCCAGCTTCACGGGGATGTGCCAGGGAGAACAGTAGCTGTTCCATGGCTTCTTTGCTCCAGTTCATAACACTTCCCACTACTGCATCTTCTGCTGCTGGGCATCAGTAAAGCTCTCAAGTGTCAACACAGCCCAGGCTTAACACCTGTCCTCTACTGTCTGGAGAAGTGAGGTTAGGTCTTCCCAGCTCCTGTTAGGGGTTGAGGTACTAAAACTGGGCAAGTGGATACATCCGCCTCATCCACCGTGACGAGACTCTGGCCTTCAGGAGTGGGCTCTCCATCTAAACAGCCTTTGTTGTTTGTTGCACATCACCCAAAGTATGTGTGTCTGTGACAGTCTGTTGTGAGTGTCCACAGTGCCTTTATGATGACTTAAACTACACTGAGCCTCTTGCCAAGAAGCAGTGCTTTCTTTGTGAATACCACTGAGAGCTTCTTGTGGTCACAACTGTCCCAGAGGCTGAGGCTAGAAAACCCCAGATCCCCAGGCTATGCTACATAGTGAGGGCACACACCCCCATTCTCCATAGACCCCTCAAGATCCTAAAGTCACACAGATCTTCAAGGATAAGGCTTTTCTTGTTTTCATAGCACAATGCAAGGAAGTTGTGCTTTTTAAATTTTAGAGATCCCTTTCTGAATAAATCTAGCCTACAGATCTTAAAGTGTGGACCAGCAGATGAACAGGGAGATGTTAGGATCTGAGGCTCCAGAATGCACAGGACAGAGACTGTTGGACAATGCTGTGAGCTGGTGAAACACACTGAAAGGGATGGATGGTAGGAAGAGCTTACGAGCACTAGGGCCATTATCACTCAGATCCTAATGTGTCCAAGCGGGGGAGTAGCAAAGGAGATCTGTGTGAAACTCAACTCCCTGCTGCCAGGGCCTGGCCGCGCACAGAGCTCCAAACTGCAGAGCCCCCACTGCCTTCCTGGGATTTAGATCAAGACTTGACCTACTCGATGAGAATGTAACTTGCTTTATTGAATGTATAGCCATCTTTGCTGAATAACCTGTCATTGAGGCTGTCTGAAGGGTGTTGTCTCTACTAAAGTATGAGGTATCAAAACCAAATCATTGGCCTGTGTAGCAAGTAGTTGCTTAAGTGGCAATTGTCATTGACTAATCATAAAATATTTTGCACAAAATTTCAATGTAGAACTTATACTTATTATTATATTAAATTATAAATCATAGCTTTTAGTTAAGCTAGAATACTTACACATTATACTGATCTTCAAAATAAATATATTTCATAAGTTGTTGTGAGTGTTAATTTCAACCTCAGATATAAATCCCTTGATTACAAAGTTTCTCTGTAAATCCATTTTTCATTTTATGCCTCAAAGACGGTATTGCCGATTCTGGTTGTCACACTTCATTTTAAATTCTTATCCAAGAAAACATCTCAGACTTCACGTTGTGTTCTGTGAGTGCGTCTGAAGGCTGCGGTGCCATGTTTCTCCATTGAGCCTGGAGCTGTTCACCAATCACAGGCCTGAAGCAACCAAGAATTTGAAGCACTGCCGTGTGCCATCCTGTGGCTGTGTGAACAGACAAGCTGGGCTTTGCTGCTCTGGTTCACACCGTTTCACTGCTGAGAAGCAGTGTACTGCAGTGCAATGCTTCTCAGTCTGAGACAGGTGAAAAGGGGGAAGAAGGGCCCCCTGGCCGCCTGGCCGGGCCTTCCCACCTGTGGCCAGCAGAGCACCCAGTGCTGCCTAGCTAGGGCTTGCTGGCCCTCCTCACAGCTCCACAAAGACCTGCAGGCTGTGCCAGGAAAAACACAAATGTTACCGGTGCTTTTGAAATTTCGTCTTATTTTAAATCTTTTATATTCTTGAATAAGACTAGCCATCCCTGGATTCTCTCTCTTTTGATAGGCAATCTGGATTAGAGAAGGGAAAGCCAATTTGATCACAGCATAATTGTCACTCTGCAATTCAGATCTCTGAGAGTGTCACCTGCAGGTGCCACATAAAGTATGCAGGGTCCACCTGCACTTGATCTCCTGTAAGTGGAAAGCAGGTGTCTGTTGGGGATGGACACCGGCTTTCTTTGTTTCCCAGGTCCTCTCGTGTCTAGGGGACTCGGATGACAGTCATGCAACTTGGCTGATGCTACCCCTAGGGCACCCCCCAAGCATTCCCATATATCTGCTGGCAGGATATGAAAGAAAATGGGGTGCCTCTGGAGCTCGTGACACTTGGCCTTGACTTCATCATGAAGTTAATTCTGGGAGAGCTGTCTTAGGCACTGCAGAAGCAAACAGTAAACTCCATAGTGCAGGAAGCAGGGGAAAGCTTCAGACCTGACAGCAGGGGCCTAGGTATAGTGAGCTGCACTGTCTGGTCTCTGTCCACAGGACTGGGGTTGGGGTATGGGGGAAACAAAAGACATACCTGACAGAACAGCATGTTCAACAACAGGGCTGGTGCACATATAGCCGACCTCACAGAGCTGACAGCATGCCCACAACCCGCACAGCTCCAAAGCAGACACAGTCCCAGCACTTCAGAGAGGTGGACACAAAGTTCCACTCCTGACTAGGAAGCTATTTGCAATTAATATCTGCTTGGGAAAGACCCTGCCACCCTGGGGAAGCCCCCTTCCTCCTGCCCTTCTGCAGAGCGGGGTGTTACTGCCCCAGCCCAGCCTCCCCTGTGGCTCAAGAGCTGTGCAAAACCAATACATGTGGGCATGGGGGCAGGCACATTGAGTGTTGCTGCCCTGGGAGGCTGAGCAGACAGACATCTTGATGCTGCCTCTCTATGGGAGGTAGAAACCCAATTTCAGGTGGCTTCCTTGTTCCTTGGTGGGGAGGGGGGTCTTTCTCTCCATCTACCGTGTCACACTTGTAGAGCCAAATGCAAGGAAGGATACAGCAGAAGCCCTTGAAGGAACCTGGCCCAGTGAGCTCCTTCTTGCTTTCCTTTACTCTCCTGGCTTGGAATCAGCTTCCCCAGGGCTGCAGGCCCCTTCGACAAACCTTTCCTCCACCCCAGCAGTCATTACTCCAGTGTCCTCTGCCAGCTCCTGTGCCCAGCTCTCTGCCTCTCATGGTGACCCAGGCCACATGGGGACTCATGTACCTCCCACCAAATAAACCCCAAACTATGGTGCCATAGGCTCTTAGGACTTGAAGGACCAGCAGACCACCCCAACTCCCCATGACAACTCACTTCTGGTGGCCTGGGCAAGGACATAGATTGTTATTGTCAGGGCTGTTGGCTTGCTGGGCAGGGCAACACAGACCTTGTCCATCTTAGAGACTGCCCGTCCTCCAGAGACCAGGTTTTGGAGAGAGTGACCTCATACAGAGGATGTGGCTGGAACTGAGCCATGTTGGCTACAAAAGTCCTCTGCCGAGCTTGTTCTAGAGCAGTGGTTCTCAACCTCCCTAATACTGTGACCCTTTAATACAGTTCCTCATGTTGCGGTGACCCCCCAGTCATAAAATTATTTCATTGCTACTTCATAACTGTAATCTTGCTACTGTTATGAGTCATAGTGTAAATATCTGATATGCAGGATATCTAATGTGTGACCCCTGTGAAAGGGTTGTTTATCCCCCCCCAGGGGTTATGACGCATATATTGAGAACCACTGTTCTAGCCCATTGTGGAGGTGGGAGGCATATTTGTTCAGC